AATTAAAAATATTTAATCAATTTTCCAGCTACTTTTAGTGGCTACGTAATCTATTTTCACATATCTCAATCCACAATCTTTATGCTTATATCAAATCAAATTTAATTGAATCTCAATTGTTGTTTATAAAAATATAAAAGTTCAGTTAGTTGTCTTCAATTTCAATCAGTAGATAGAGCAGGCTCATCAGGCTCTATACGTTCTTTAGGTCATTCTTATGTTTCTTATACTTCCGTTGTTATGCTACCCACTCTCGGCTTATCTACTAATCGCTTCCATCTTGGGCATGTTTTTGTCACTCGATTAGGCATTTATTTGAAATTAAGCACTTCAGTTGCCAGCACAAATCGTTTGATAATAACTCCCATCTATCTTTAACGGCAGCTATCAACAAATTTCTGAATTGTTATATTTCGCGTTGCGGCGATAAAGTTCGAGCAATTGTGAAACGTTAATTTGTTTTGCCATCCAATTGGATCGCCGCGTCGCTGGGCCAGACGTGAATTTCTAATGGAAAACAAACAGCATAAACAATTCGAAATTTGTTATCAGGGCGAGGTCTGCTCCAATTATAGCTTGGCTTAACTGTTTGCTTACGGTGCGCTCGTGGTAACATTGCCACTTCTATTCCCATTCCCATTCCCATTTCCATTTCCATTGCCCTAACCCAGCCCAACAATTAATCGGCTGTCCATTTGATTTGCATTTTGCAGAGCTGGTGCCCGCGCGCTATGTGCTCGCCATAATGGGCTCCATTGGCATGGCCATTGTCTATGGGCTGAAGGTGAATCTGAGTGTGGCCATGGTGGCCATGCTGAACCATACTGCCATACATGGGATGCAGGAGAAGCCAGTGGATCATCACACCATTTCGAATCTCACGAGCAGCGCCAGCGAGGAGGTTGAGGTCTGCTCGCCGCCCGGTGGCGCCACCAATGTAACGGCCAAGGTTGAGGTAAGTCACCAGCTGCGCAGCAATCACAATGAATGCAAATTTTGGTAAACATGTTTTTCGCTTTATTCCGACCAGGACGGACCATTCAGCTGGAGCGAACCCCTGCAGGGCACACTGCTGAGCTGCTATTTCTGGGGCTATCTGGTCTCGCAGATTCCATTGGCTCATGTCGCCGAGAACTTCTCGGCCAAGTGGGTCATGCTGTTCTCGGTGGCCATCAATGTGGTGTGCACTCTGCTGACTCCAGTCCTGACCTCTGCTCATTACGGTGGCTTGATATTGATGCGTGTCCTGGAGGGCGTGGGCGGCGGTGCCTCGTTCCCGGCTATGCATGTGATGATCGCCTCCTGGGCACCGCCCACCGAGCGCATGGTCATGTCCACCATCATCTATGTGGGCACATCGGCGGGCACGGCACTATCTATCCTATTGGCTGGCGTTCTGTCGGCCAACTGGGGCTGGGAGTCGGTGTTCTATGTGATGGGCGCACTCAGCTGCATCTGGATGCTCTTGTGGGTAATTCTGGTGCAGGACAATCCCAACAAGCAGAGCTTCATCAGTGCCGAGGAACGTCACATGATCACCAGTTCGCTGGGCACCGAGACCAAGGTCGAACATCATCCAAAGGTGCCATGGGGCAAGGTGCTCAAATCGGTGCCCTTCTGGGCAATTCTCATCGCTCACACCTGCAGCAACTTCGGCTGGTACATGTTCCTCATCGAGATTCCCTTCTACATGAAGCAGGTGCTCAAGTTCAATGTGGCCAGCAATGCTGCACTCAGCGCCCTGCCCTACTTCCCAATGATCATATTCAGCATAATCCTTAGCAAAATTTTGGATACTCTGCAAGCGAAGGGTAAGTTTATCCGCCAAGTCCAACTTATCCGTATGTGTTTCTACGTATTTATTTACTTCATGCTTGTTTACACTCATATTTATATCCACATCTAACTCGATATTCAGGTCCATATTCATATCCATATTCCATATTAATAATATCAATTATAATATCGAATTATATAACTCTACATATATTCATATGAATGGATATCCAGATCCATATTCATAACAAAATCAGTATTCATGTTCTCACCAAAACTATATTAATATTAAAATCTATATCCATAACCATATGCATTTGCATGTCAAAATCCCTATCTATATCTTATCCGTATCCTTATCCCTATATTCTAATCCATTTTGTTATCCACTCATAACTCATAACATTTCCCATTGCCTACACTTTTCCTTTTACATATCGTATTCTTAGCCCTAGTCTTATCTAATACGTGTCTTTTTTAGGCAAAATAAGCACAACCATTGCTAGGAAGGCGGCTACCTCAATTTGTACTGTTATACCGGCAATATGTTTGTTGGTTCTGTGCTATATTGGATGCCGACACTACGAGGCCGTCTCTGTCATGTCCGTGGGCATTGTGGCAATGGGCGCCATGTTCTCTGGCTTCCTCTCCAATCACATTGATATTGCTCCGAACTTTGCTGGCACTTTAGTTGCGTTGACCAACACTGCTGCCACCCTACCTGGCATTGTTGTTCCCCTCTTCGTTGGTTTTGTTACCCATGGAAATGTAAGTGTTGGCTGAGATTCCAAATAATTCAGAACATTTAATATTCCGAAATCTTATGTATTCCGATCATAGCAAAACATTGGAGCCTGGCGTATTATATTTGGCGTTACAATCGTCCTGTTCGTATTGGAGTTCTTAACTTTCGTCATATTTGGCTCGGGTGCCGAACAATCGTGGAATAGATCTGGTGCACCGAAGGATGCTGATGTCAAGGATGAGAAGACACCGCTTAAGGATGTTAACGCACAGCAAAAGCCATAATTATGTAATCTCGATTAGTGGATCGAACCATATACAAGAATTTCAATTTCATGACTTTTTGTGTAGTTAAAGCACCGAACTGTCGCACTGGACTGTAAATACTACAAAATACCAATTATAGTTTTTAGTTTAACCTGTAATACTAGGTATACTCGTATCTGTGCACCCATCTATGGACACTACTACACTACTTCGCTTACCCGCCTTTAAAATGTACTTAACAAACGACAGGTATTCAAATGTTATCCCACATACAGAGAAAATAAAATAATATTCTAGTACAATTGTTGTCTTTTAATATTGGTTAACTGGTATACTGTTATACAGGTGGTGTACAGTTGTACTGTAAATGCTTATACAGCTACTGACATACTGGTAATATTTTATATTATTATACTAGTATACTGTTATATGACATTGGGTACATTTTTGCAATTTAAATTTAATTGCTTTACTTGTGTTATCTAGAAGTCAATAAATTAATTAGCCAAGGTAAAGCAATTTTAAACAAAAGTGTTCTAGTCGACTATGCTCAACTTGGAAATACCCTGTATCCTGCAATGACAGACGGACGGACAGACAGATGGACATGGCTATACTGATTCAGCACATCGCCTTGTCCACAAATATACACGATTTATGGGGTCTGGCACGCCTCCTTCTGCCTGTTACACAGATTTCAACAAAACCGTTAATTCCTGATTTCCCTTTTTCAATGGGTTCAGGGTATAACAATCTTTCATAAGCTCAACAAAATGTATTGACAATTCGTGATTTATAAATGAGTGCATTCTTAAATTACAGGACTATTACACAATCTTTTGACATTGGTTATTCTGGGCATCGGCCGGTTCTATAAAAGCCGAGCGCTTCTTTCATTATTTCAAAGTCAAATCAATAATGTCCGTTAAGCTTGTGACTTTCTTGCTGCTCCAAGCCGCAGCGGCTGTCCTGGCGGGCATTCGTTCGATACCCCAGCCCGAAAAAGATCAGGGTGTAATGCTATTTTGGAAATGTATATAACAGTCAAAAGGTGGCGTGGCAGACCTCTTAAAGTATATATATTCTTGTTCGACGAGCTGAGTCGAATAAGGTGTTAGCAAAGGTGACTAGACTTTCGAAAATTTTCCCATTAAATCGTTTAAACTTCAAAAAATTATTAGTTTAATTTGTTGTATCTCAGAATTAGAAAACATGTGTATATAATTATTCCAGAAATCGCAATAGTTGTATAGTCGAAATTAATCAGAATGCAGAAAATTATTCCATAGTATCTATTATCAGAAAGAAAATTTGTATAAAATGATATATGATGAAAAAGAAGAGGGGAGTTATCCATGTAAGTTTCCTACATAAATCCGAACAAATTTGAGTGATTTTTGTTCTGCAATCCCATAGCATTTTTGCCGGCACGCTACATATTTGCATTCCTCGCCAATGTGGGCATGGCAATTGTGTATGGATTTCAGGTAAGTCTGAACGTCACGATGGTGGTCATGGTAAACCATTCGGCTGCCCTTCACGCCAGTCCTTCAGCGCCGGATAACAAAGATGTGGGCTGCCATCCGCCGCCTGGCACCTCACCGAATGCTAAAGAGGAGGTATGATATACCATAATCCAAATTTAATTGATATATCACTAAGTTAGTTGCGTGCAGGACGGACCATTCAATTGGAGCGAAGCCCTTCAAGGTAAACTGTTGAGCTGCTACTTCTGGGGCTATATGGCGTCGCAGATTCTGTTGGCTCGCGTCGCCGAAATCTTTTCAGCGAAATGGGTATTCCTCGGCGCTGTGGGAATCAATGTCATATGCACCATATTCTCACCGGGTCTGGCGAAGCTTCACATTGCTGGGCTGATGGCTATGCGCATTCTGGAAGGCGTTGGCGGTGGAGCGGCATTCCCATCGATGCACACCATGATAGCCAGTTGGGCGCCACAGACGGAACGGCTGCTGATCGCCACCCTGATCTATGTGGGCACATCGGCAGGTGTGGCGATATCAATCTTGTTGTTGGGCGCAATCGCCGATCAGATGAACTGGGAGGCGGTCTTTTATATAATGGGTAGTCTGACCATCGTTTGGATGATCCTATGGGTATTCCTCATACAGGACAGCCCAAACAAACAGCACCTGATGACCGCCAAGGAGCGTGACATGATAAACGTCTCGTTGGGCGAGGAACATACTGCACCTAAAGTACCCTGGTGCAAGATCTTCAAGTCGGGTGCCTTTTGGGCAATTCTCATTGCTCACACTTGCAGCAACTTCGGTTGGTACATGTTCCTCATCGAGATTCCGTCCTACATGGAGCAGGTGCTCAAGTTCAATGTGTCGAAAAATGCAGTCTTTAGCGCTTTGCCCTATATACTCATGCCGATATTCAGCATCGTACTTAGCAAGATATTGGATATATTACAGAATAAGAGTTCGTATTTCCATGGGCTTAGTGTTTCTAATAATACAAACAAATACTGAAATATACCCTATACATATATAGATAAGATCAGGCGAGTGACTGCCCGAAAGATCGCAACGGGCATAGGTTCAGTCGTGCCAGCCCTCTGTCTGTTTGGTATGTGTTTCGTCGGATGTCGTCACATTGTGGCCGTTAGTATCATATGCTTGGGTATTATGGGCGCGGGTGGCATGTTCTGCGGCTTCCTCTCGAATCACATGGATATATCACCAAATTTTGCTGGTACATTAATGGCGCTGACCAATACTATTGCCACAATACCTAGCATTGTGGTACCTAAACTAGTCGGTTTCATTACTGACAATAATGTAAGCTATATCCGAGATAAATCTTGAATCGAATTATTATTGCATATCATCTTTCCTTAAATAGCAAACCATTCAGGCCTGGCGAATGATATTTGGTATCACAATTGGTCTATACATTATTGAATTTGTTATTTACATGAGTTTGGCACAGGGTGAAGTCGAACAGTGGGATGAGGGCTAGTTAAAGCTGGCTTCAAGATGGAAAGCAAAAATTCTTTAAAAGAAATGAAAGAATAAAATTTTTATTTCAAACTAAATACGGTTTTAAATTAACAGCTTTTCAATGTAGCCGTTAACAGAAATAATACATGCTCATAACAGACCGCTGTTAACTTAATGAATAAATTAACTGGTTCACTAAGCAAATTCAAACCGATTCGACATTCTCTTGCTTTCGATAACATCTTATCGAGTGTCTAGAATTTGTTTAATCGATTGTTAAAATGAAATTAAATTAAGACATAATTTGGGCAAACAAAATTAAATAAAAAAATAACCCCAAAAACAAAGTGTACATAACGCTTTCGTTATAATCGCTTTAAATATGCACATTTAGAAAAAATTCAAATAAAAAAACAATTTCAAAATTCAAACTGCACCGAGAGTCACAACTCTGGCAAAGTCGCTGCCAGTGAAATTGCCGGCCGTGCGAAAATGTTGAAAATACGCAACATTTGCATACTGCAGCGACGCTGGAAGAGCGGGAAAAGACGTTGGAATGTGCTGCAACACAAGCGCAACAATTGCGATCGTGCTTTGGAAACTTTCGACGATTTCTATGGCTCTGTCTACGGCGGACGTTGGAAGAATATGCGTGCTGCCCTCCTAACCGAACACAAATATGTTGCCATGGTAAATAATTTTGGTGACACGGAGCAAACGTGCAGCATGCTGGAACTGGACGGTGCCATCAATATTAAATCTCTCATTCAATTGGCAATGGAGCGAGAGGAAGCCGGCGCAGAATCTAATCTTCTACTCAATCGGCATGCTCATTACGACATCGATGACAAACTAGAATCGTTGCTGCGCAAGCAGCAAGAACGCGAAGTGGCTGCCATCTATCCGACTGCAGCAGACGATGGACATGTGCCGCCACAACAGCTGAGCTATGATGGGAAGAAGAAAGAAGACAGTCACACGGAAGCGCAGACAGACAGCGGAAAGGAGGCACCGTCAGTGGAGTTCACGCACAGTCTGACCAAAGCCTTAGAGCAGGATGTGCAATTAGATGAGAGTCGTTTAGTAGATCCGCAATTTGGCACAGGCGGTCTGTACGAATATGTGCCCGCCAGCAGCATCAAGGGCATGGAGGATTGGGTTGCCGAATCGAAGCATTATAAATATTATCAAACCAGCACCGATTTTCCACTAATCATCGAACCCGAGGCCATATTTCAGTATCCCGAACACTTGGCCATTTACACCTACGAGATGGGCAACTGTGCGGAATTTAAGCCGCCGCGACAATGTCTAACTGGTGTCTTGTCTCACTTTCTAATGGACGGCGCCTCGGTGTTGCCGCCGCTGTTTCTGCAAGTACAGCCAGGTGAGCGTGTGCTCGATGCTTGTGCGGCACCAGGCGGCAAGTCACTACTGATGCTGCAGACGCTACACCTGGATCAGCTGGTGTGCAACGATGTACAGGAGTCGAGACTGAATAAGCTGCGACGCGTCATGCAGGAGTATCTCTTCGATTACAAACAGCGCTGGGCGGGCAAACGTTTGATCTTTAGTCAGAGCGATGCTCGCAATCTAGATGAATATGGCAGCTATGACAAGATACTAGTGGATGTACCATGCACCACGGACAGACATGTGCTGATGCATCAGGACAACAATATCTTCAAGCCGACCCGAATCAAGGAACGTCTGCGGATACCCGAGCTGCAGGCCGGCATCTTGGCGAATTGCTTACGTTTACTGAAGCCTGGTGGCAGTTTGGTCTACTCCACGTGCTCCTTGTCTCCGGTACAGAACGATGGTGTTGTCCATATGGCGCTGCAGAAGGTCTTCAACGAGCACGGTATCACGGCTCGCATCAAAGACCTCAGCCAGCATACAGCGCTCTTTAGCGACATCTACAGATTCGAGCAGCCAAAAGGCTTGAAATATGGCCAAATGGTTCTGCCCTATTTGCCGGCCAACTTTGGACCGATGTATTTCAGTAAAATCACACGAAATTCCTAATGTTTAATTTTTTAATCAAACCAAATTCTAATGTATAACAGAAAAGGGGAAATTCAGATATTTGTTGGTGGGGTGTAAACAGATTCTGAACCAACAAAGTAAGAAGCTAGTAATGGGTATAAGTTGGGCAATGTCACGGATGAAACCCTTCAGAGCCTTAAAGCCTAACATTTTTAATTATACCACATTCTAAAATGTTACTTATTAAAAAAGAAATGAATTACTTGTTACAACTAAATACGTGTTTTTTTTTTTTTCGAGATTTCATTCAATAAGAATTCATTTAGATTTTAGGAATAAATTTAAAGGGAAATTTAATTTGAACTTTAAGCTTAAACAATATCTATACGAAATACAGCCGTGTTTGCTGTTCAATTTTTGCTTACAATCTAAATATACATTAATATAATTCATATACATAATTTGACATTTACAATTAGATTTGTGCCCGAATCGAAACAAGTTTGTTCAATTTTTGTCAATCTTCTTTTTTTTCTTGGGCTTTATGGGCAGTGGTCCAGGCGTCTTGAAAATAGTGCTGCAAGTAATTTTATAGACATTATAAATATTTTGTTAAATTTCACAAACTCTCTGACTCACTGGCACGTGGTACAGATTGGACTGTATTTGCAAAAAACAGACAGGCATACGGAGCAAACGTAGCCAATGTCAATTAGCTCGCGATGGCAGAAGCAGGAGGCTCGATAATCAACCTTAGGTGTGGGTGGCAGCACCAGCTTGTGCCGCATCTGCGGTGATGGCAGGAATACCCACAGTAAGTACTGCAACAACCCATCCAACTGGTTAACTTTGAGGAACTGGCCGTTCGTTATATCGCAGCCCTGTTGCAGCAAACTGAGTGTCTTGTCCAGGGCGCAGGTGTCAACGACAATGCCCAACTTTTGGGCCGTGAAGAAGACATTCATAAAGGTCATATACTGCGAGGCGCACTCATTGCTGCCCGTGATCACCAAAATGCGTGAATGCATCTTTACGCCAGCCGGGACATTCCGTTGCAGCTGCAAAAGTTAAAGTATTTACAATTAAAGTTCCATGAATGGAGTTGATTACATACTCGTGATATGTAGCACAAGGCCATGGACATGCTGCCTGCCAGTAAACTTTCGCATGGCGCGCTCAAACGAGGCGCATTCATGAGTATGCTGCCCAACTGTTGCTTCACCGTTTTCTCAACCAAACTAAACGCCTCGTATTGGGCATCTATTTGTCGCAGCTCTACCTGCCTGCCCGGCAAGGGGAAGAGAAACTCCCTGAGAAAAAAACACTTAATAAATATTTACTCTCAATGTTTAATGGCCACCTACGTGGTGTAATGTGAGCAGGAGAGCACAGCTAATTTATTTTGTGCCTTCTGCATGAGGTGCGCATTGCCAAAGGCGATGACTGCCTCCAGAATCTGTGTTAGATTTTGTGGATTTTGTCGTACAATCAGCTGTGAGGGATTCGTGTCCAGCACGATGGCCAACAGATCAATGCTTGCCTCATCTTTAAAATTGCGGTATGAGTTCAAATACTATTACGTTTATTCATTTGAATTTTACCTTCTTTGTTTGCTGTTGCGTCTGGTGACTCCATTTTTGCCGGCAAAACGAAGCGCAATGGTAAATGCTGCAAATGAGTTCAAGGTTGCGCAAAAGAGTTCGGCACTGGTTGCACTTGTGACGTCAGTCACTTAAATTGGCTCGAGAACTGTATGTAACAAGTGTTTTCAATGTTTTTAAATCTATTAATGAGCATGGCAATAATAATTTATTTGAATATAAAAGAAATTATAATTTAAGTTCAATATTTGTACGTCAATTAATCTGGGCATTATTTAAATGTGACGTCATAAGATGGAACTTGTCTTTTAATCTTTTGCACTACGCGAATTCTTCATATCAGGGCTGCCACAAATTGATTTTGCCATTCCGCGGTAAGCGCGGACACTTCAATCAGCTGTTCTTGTCAGCACTAAAATTTTTGTTGGGCGTTTCACCCACTCTTGTTGATAAAAACGGCGTTAAACACGTATTACATCCGGTTTTAAGAAACAAGAATATAGCACAGCTATAAAATGCTTGTTCTAGTACTTGGCGACTTGCATATACCACACCGCTGCAGCAGTCTGCCGGCAAAGTTCAAAAAGCTGCTGGTGCCCGGTCGGATACATCATATACTGGCCACTGGAAATATTTGCACGAAGGAATCATATGATTATCTCAAGTCATTGGCCAACGATGTGCACATAGTTCGTGGTGATTTTGATGAGAATCTCAGCTATCCGGAACAGAAGGTTGTGACGGTGGGTCAATTTCGTATTGGCCTGTGTCACGGTCATCAGGTCGTCCCTCGAGGGGATCCCGAAGCATTAGCCCTAATCCAGCGTCAACTAGATGTGGATATTCTAATAACGGGGCATACGTACAAATTTGAAGCATACGAGCATGGTAATAAATTCTACATCAATCCGGGCTCAGCAACAGGCGCATTCAATCCGCTGGACCAAAATGTGGTGCCCTCCTTTGTGCTGATGGACATACAGAGCACCACGGTGGTGACCTATGTCTATCAACTGATCGGCGATGAGGTCAAGGTGGAGCGCATTGAGTATAAGAAGATATAACCAAGTATTAGCAGCAATTCATTCCGCACGCACTGAAATATCCGATCTGTCTTTGATCTTGGCTTAAACTACGTGAAAATCTGAATATATGAATATATATATTTAACGAGAAAATTGTATAAATTAAACCACGYTTCTTTCATTTTTTTATTTAATAAAAAATGTTTAAACTTTATTTAAATAGAATATAAAAGGGTTCTTATTTTTGCTCGATTTTCACTGTTGACTCTGGTGTCTCGCTTACATGTTCAATGTGCAAAATATTATGAATTTTATAATCGAATGAAAAGTCTGCTTAAAAATGTTGACAAAGTTTCGTGCATTATTCTCATTACATTATAGTTAATATCTAGATACAGATTGGATTATCGTTCGGTTAACGTTGCATTGCTTTCTGGCATTATAAAATAAATATTTAAATGTACTGCTTTTTTATTTATTATTTTTTATGATCTCTTTTCATTTTGTTGTGAATACTTTTTGTTTTCGCCCCATTTTTTTTACGATAGCAGCATAATTTGGCAACTATTTTCTAAACTTTCGTACGTTACAAAAAAAAAATGATAAATACACAAATACGAAAACTCTGCGCTTAAAATTACATTATTTAGCTTTGCTGCAATCCACTTGCAATTAGTTGGATGCCGGTTTTCATTGGGGGAAGGTGACTTGTCATACATATATGTTTTTATTTAAAAAGCAATCAACGACGTCCATGCGATCCCCGATGTGCCTGCTCGCGCATTAGCCCAGGCTGTCGACGCACACAGTCTTGAGGGTTTTGCCATTGATGAAGGTCTTGAACTGCTCCGGCAATGCCAGTTCGGTCTGCAAATATGTTAAAACATATTAAATAAAAATATATATAATTTTGTTATTTTAAGCTCCACATACAAAATCTCCATTTGCCTCCGGCAAGAGTATATTCATCTCGGATGACTTCGAGCTGACAATTTCAACGCCCAGGGAATCCTTAGACAAATACATTTGACAGCCATCGGTCTTATCGATCGACACTGTTGGAACCGAACCCAACACCTGCATCTGAACGCTCTGGCAGTTGACGAACTCAATGGAGGCAACCACCGAATCGAACAGAAGCGAGCACTTTTTGCACGAGTCCAGCACAATGTTGTTGACCTTGCCCTTGACAGTGAGGGTGGAGCCCTCGCAGCGGAACATATACACCACATTGTTCATTTCGGCATTTTCCACAACGAGACCCGAGTTGTTCTTCTGGTACTCAATCAACCACTTTTTGCCATCGCGGGTAAAGACTGGGTCCTTCACGGGTGGAGCAGAATTAGTAGCAACTGGGGCGCTGCTTTTGGCTGGCGTCTTGAAGGGCGCTGGACCAGTGCGCAGTGATGGATTCTTGTGGGTTTGCATGTCGCCGGTTACCTTCTTCAAGTCTGCAAGAATATTAAATTAGCTTAAAGCATCTTATAGAAATTATTGCCATTTGTTCCTACTCTTGGTTATATCAGCGCCCTGATTGATCTGCGCGAAGAGCGCACTGCGATCATCGCCCGCGCTGTCCAGCTTCAGGGCATTCAGATCCAGTGGTGGTGGTGGTGGTGGCATGCCGCCGGGTGGTGGCGGTGGTGGTGCACCACCAGCGGGGGCTGCGCCCTTACCAGACCAGACGAGACCCGTGGTATGATACTGCTTAATGTAGGCCTGCATATCAGTTAGTGTTTGCAGCCAGGCGCGTGCCCATTCCACATGCTTGGGATCCTTCTCCTTCCACTCCTTAAGCACACGGTTCGTATAGAACTGGCCGGCGTCCTTCATCTCCTTCACATGCGGTCCAGGCATCGATGTCGTACACACCCAACCCAGGGCGGGTATACTCTCGCTAATGGCCGACAAATGATTGAAGAGCGGCGAGGTGCGATGCTTCTCACGGAAATCACAAATGGCGCTGATTTGCGTCGATGTCGGCTGCAGCAGTTCCATTTCCTTTGCCTGCGGCGGCTTAGCCATCTGCGTGGCCAGCGTCACATAACGCAATTGGGCGCTATAAATTGCCAAATTGAAAATTAATAATGTCACACACAAAATAACAATATCGACTGCAGTTAATACTCACTCGAATGCAGCCTTCACAATCTGCGCATGCGCAGCCACATCGCCGCCTATTTGGGCGGATAGCGCCAAGTACTCGGCTAATGGCCCGGCGATAATATCCTCGTAGCCAGCGACACTCATGTTGTTGCTGTCACTTGTTGTTGTTGTGAGAGGATCAATTGGCGGTGGCGGTGGCGGTGGCAGTGGCGTTGGTGGTGATGGTGGTGCGGGTGGTGTAGATGGTGCTTTAATTACTGCCTCTGGCTGTGGCGCTAGCAACGTGTGCTCCAGCCGATCCACTAAAGTCTCCAAGCGTTCACAAATCCTTTCTAAATGCTCAACGGCAGCAGTGGGCTTTGATTCCGACTCGTGGTTATCTGTTGATTAATCAAAAACTCAATTATTATTCCAGTTCGCTCTAAAATTTCGTGCTTTTACTAAAGATGTGCGTAAAAAATGTAAGCGTAAAAAATATATACATATTTGTATATTTAATTAAGATGAAAACATTACACAAATCGTGTTCACACCCAGTCTATAAACAAATTAAAATAAGATTTAAAAAAACAAGTTGTAATTGATGTCATCGCAGAGTTTGCAATAAAAAATATAAATTCGCATGAATCACTGGAAACGACTTGAGAGATTAAGCAACGGGCAAAAAATCGCTGAATGAGCTGTTGGTGATGATGTTGTTGTTGCTGCTGATGATAATGTTGTTGCTGATGATAATGATGAACAGAGATTAGTGAGCGGTTATAAAAGGAAAAAATGTCAAGTGCTGCATATTAATATAAGTGACATTAGAGATATGTGAATGCAGTTATAGTAATTTGATACCCTATATAAGCTGGCTAAAATGAGGTATGATAATACAAAACATACTCTAATATCAAGATTGTGTAAATTGTAAACTTTTGAGGCTTAAAATATACAATACAATATTCTCAAATACAAAATAATAATAATTAGAATTAACATTTTAAAAATATTACGAAAAAAAGGAAAAAAACAAAAAAATATATACAATTATAAAAAGAAGTTGTTATTAAATAAAAG